GTATCAGTGCCTCACATCATGTGTTGGGGGAAGCTGGCTCACTGTCTTTCTGCCTCAACTCAGCAGCTTCTCGAGACAGGTGCCGGTGGGCGGTGGGCGGTGGACGGTCGACGGTCGACGGTGGATGGTTATATGTCGGCTGTGGTTGACGGTAGCGTTGAGCGGTGAGCGGCGGCTCGGACAGTGCCTGGGAACGGGCTGACTGACCGCGGAACTGGCCGGACCGCGGCGCCACACCCGGAACTGACCGACGGACACGGTCCGGGCACCGTCTCTGGGTACACGAGCTGCAGGAGAGAGTCGGGACAGCTGCGAGTCGAGCTGCTGCAGCTGTGAGACGAGCTGCTGCAGCTGCGGGACGAGCTGCTGCAGCTGTGGGCAGCAGAGCGATCCCGAGTGACGCAAATCAAAGGAGAGTGCTGGCATCGAAATGGATTTCACAAGTTTCGTAATGGATGCAATAATGGCTTTAATTGGCCTGCTTATGCTTGGGTGCCTCTGATTCTTTTACCCTCATACATTGCTTCATAAGCATACTATCTAAATCCAAAAGCCTTGCATGGTTTACCTAATACCTGGTCGCCTTTCTGTCGCTTACGTCGCGTTTTCGCCGACCGCGTTTCCCCGGGACAATAGCTCGCCTCCATTCCCATCCCGCCCAGCTCCAATCCAATCTCCAATGACGGATGTTGCACGGCACATGTTTAATGACGTGCCCCGGGGGCCCGGCTACGGTCTCGCCGTCACCATTCCCGTGGCTGACGGACGTACTACGCCGTAGGCCGTGCCTGAGGAGGCGGGCAGCACACTGACCCACTGCCGTACACACGGCGCACAGCGCCCGAAACCACCCCAAAATGGAGTGGAACGGGTCCGGGCCGGCGGCGACACGGCGCCGGAAGTCGCGGGGCGAGCTGACGAGGTGGTTGGTAATTATTGTTTGATGGTAGATCAGTGATAAGGAGGGATGGAGAGGGAATGTTGAGGCCATACGTCATATGAATCGTGCAATGGGTTTGGTCCGATGAAAAACAAAGTGTGCAGAACATCACTGCCTCATTTTTTTTTTGTATTATGAGTGCTGTGGTGATTTTGAATTACGTTTATGGTATAAGATATCGTTTTTGGTGCATTTTACGGTAGTGGCATAGATAAAACATGTACCTATGTGTGGAAAGTTGGAGACGTGATGATATGACGAAAGCTTGTCATTGAATTGAATGCCACATTCTTTGATCAAAACCTGGTCTTTATCAAAATGGTCACGGTAGATGTTCGGTATTTCACCATGGAGAACTAATGACGGCCAATTTCTAGTTTCACTCCCATATTTGGCGCCTCTACGTAGGAGTGTTTCGGTGAAGGCTACATTTTAGTTGGGCTCATCCACTCCAGGACTGTCTTTTTTATCTGAAGTAAGTTTTTATTTCTATTTTACAAGGACTCGGTCATTGGCCATTTGTTACTCATGTGATCAAATCACATTTGTTCGAAGCGCACACCTTTCCCTTTCGGTACACAAGCAGATAAAGATATACTGCGTTTGAGTGGTATAATCTTTGTAAAGTGGTCGCACTTACTAAAGACGCGAACCTTGTCTTCAACATTCAACAAGGAGATTAGCGGCCATTGCAATCATGTGTCGCCCGACTGAGTGGATCTGCAACTGATGCATCATCTTCTCTGCGCAGCGATAGCCGTCTCGTAACAAACCCGCGCCTGACCGCGCGGAGGTGTGTGATCTCGACTCGAACAGGTGTTCTCACATTTCCACCGGAAACCGACCCGTGTCCGACCCCACTTCCGGTGTGTCACGGGCTGACTCAGGTCCGAGGCACGGAGACGGTGACGTACCGTGCGTCGCAGTTTGTCGAATGGTGATTTCGGTGGAGATATTCGGAATGAAACAATGAATTGTAAGTGACTGAGCACCTTCGGGTTTGAGCTCATCTCGTGGTCAAACCACGTCTTGTCCTGACATTATCTGCCGAGTCTCGACGAGAGCTGTTCAGGTTCGAGCTCTGAAGTCACCTCGTTCTTCTTGGGTGGCTTCTGAGCTCCGTGCCCGGCGTTTCCTAACCGATCTAGCCAGTTATTTAGCGGCCTTTATCGTAAGTACCTCGATCAAGCCTGCAGCCATCACCCACCGCCATGGGGCGACCCTTTCACACCTCTGCAGTTCAGTAGCGCCGGCCGTCGAGCCCGGCTGGCTGTCCGATCCAACAGGCGCGTCGGAGCGCGGTACCGACCCTCTGAGTGTCGCCCGACCTCCACGGGTCACTCCCCAGGCACAATGGGGGCGGACACCGGCCCGGGACAGGCCAGGTCGCATCGCTGGCGCCGGACAAAGGAGGCGCCGGCGGCGGCACAAAGCGCGTCACCAAACTACCGGACATCCACACACGTCTACCCACACCACACACACTCGCCCATACGTGCACAAACGGCCGACGGTGACGGAATGGTGATTTGCAGTCACCGGTTGCCCGTATTGCTGAGTGCCCGTGTGGTGCCTGGTAAACGGGGGAGTCTGTGGGGTGAATTAACTGGTGGGGATATCGTTAAAAGTACGGAGGCTGCACAGGTATATGCATTTAGTTAGATCGTAGAATTAGCTAAAGAATAGGGATGATTCTCCGCTATTCGTATACCATATCGCTCGACATGCGGAAAGCATTGGGCCGCGTTTGATACGTTCGTGGGCATAGTGGGCAACGGTCGGGAAGGAACATAATGTTTGCATGTATTTATACATATGTATATAAAATGTTATCATTTCATGTTCACCCCAAAAAAAAGTGAACAAATAAGCTGTGCTTGGTCTAGCTAAATTAGAGGTATTACCCGTCTTTGTAGAACAGTTCAGAGGAACAAAGCAAATTCTTTACCGGATGCGAATTAACAAAACATGCATGGCTGAGGTTGATTGATTGATTGATTGATTGATTGATTGATTCATATTTTATTTATAGAAGCATTTTCACAGTCATACATTTACACGGATTGGTGCAGAAGCGACAAGCGCTTATCTCTAAGCACCTCTCCCAGTTCCCTACAAGGTAGGAGGCACGACCACCGCCCCCGACCGCCCAGCCAACAGACCAGAAGCAGAGCCGCCCGTCGCCAGTCCGCCTATTTTATGCTTAGAGAAATTACCTCCAAAAGCGTGCTTTTTATATGAACCTACCAGTGCCAATGATATAATTTTGAATGGCCCTGACCAGCTCCCCGCCAGGTGGATGAACGAGACAAATAGCACAGCTCACGAATTTGCTCGGTTCGTGATTGTTTGCATCGTTTGTGAATAAGTTTACTTTGCACTTTAATGCATGCCTTCTGTGCAGCTACTTGCTACCACAGCGAGGGGTGCCGGACTGCGACACATTTCGTCACGCGCTCCGTCGCTCCTTACATACACACATGCATGCATTTACATCATTCGGCGACCGATGAAATGTTTCTCGGTCGTTTTCCGAGAAATGAACGTCCCTGTTGGACGCCGGCTATGTCGTCCGAGATTCAGCGAATTTTCTGGATGTCGTCGTGCAGTAATCTCAGAGGGGCTTGTGCTGGATAAAGTGCTGATGTCATCTCGGGGAGATGTCGCAAAATGACGCTATAGGGACGAGCAAGCCATGCTGCGATAAAGGCGATGACTGGTGTCAATGTGTCTATTTAAGCTATTGTGACGTATTATTTCGGGAGAAGAGCAATGTTGCAAGTTCATTCTCTTTATCCCACCTGCATTAGATTGTTTCTAAGTAGCCTTCAGTTGTGCAGAAAGGTGGCAATGCATTCTACTCATTGTCCTCGATTGATTTATCAATAAAATGATGTTTTCATGGCACTAAGCATGCTGCCATGCAAACAATGAACAAAAGCATCACGCTAGCATGGCACGTGATTTGAGCTGCAAACCTGTTCTTTCACCCGTGCTCAGCTCAGCACCCCACCTCGCCGCCTCATCATCAGGGATTTTACCTCATTCTCACTTGTCGCCGGTCCAGTTTGCCCGTCTTTGTGCGCTCGGCTGTGTTGCTGAGCCGCTCATGAGCCCTGCCTATCGGGTCGTGACTCAGCTCTGGCGTCACGGCCGGGGGAGGTGTTGTCGAGTATGCCGTGCGGTCGGTCTTCCCGTTACGTGTATACCGAGCAGTGCAGGCTTGCGCGCCACTCGACATTGATAGCGGCTGGAACGAGTCGGGGTTCGAGGACGAGTCAGAGCCTCGTGACGAGCAGTCGAGGCCGCTCCGCAGCTGAGGAGAGGTGGAGGAGCTCGCAGTGACCGCCGTGGGTGGAGACTGAGAGTTGAGGTGAACGAGGAGCTCGTGATTCGTGATCGTAAAGTGCAGCTTGTGATTTGGCGTTCGTGATTTAGGATGTGGATGCATCGTGATCAGTGAACGGGGGAGGTAACTGAAAAGGGCTCATGACCGGTTCGTAACTCAGTGAGAACTCGTAATTCAGTGCATCGTAGCTCGTGAACTCGCCCGTGACTCGTGAACTCGCCCGTGACTCGTGAGGTTGCCCGTGACTCGTGAACGCGCCGTGACTCGTGAGTTCGCCCGTGACCGTGGCACAACCTTCTGCAGCCCGTGGCATGTAGGTGCCCCGTTTGTGGCTTGCGGTTCCATGACTACTTGACGAAATAGTGAACCCACTGAAACATGCAAACAAATATGTTTTGTCTGATGCTCCCTTTTTGAAAGCTACGCAATGGCTTTGATGCAATGCTGGTGTTTAAAAGGTTTAGGCATTCGTCATGCACTTTTTCGCATTGTGACACAAGGAACGCTAGTTTCGTAGGCATACGTAAGACATTCGTGCAATAGATTTAGCGCATCTAAAGCATGGACAGATTGTTGGTTCGATGTTGCAATTATTTAGTAAGTCCATCAGTCACTTGAATAACGATTTCTCACTGAAGCTCGCGCCAACTTGCGTTTTTCATCCAGCTGTACTCAGTTTCTGACCGTCCCGCTCCTCTGTGTGCCCCTCAGATGGACGGCTCGACCGGAGCCGAGCGGCGCCGTCCCGGCGTGAATAAGACGCAGAGGCAGCTGAAGACCTCCAGCTCGCCGGTGCTGTCCGGCAGGCGGGGCAGCACGTCCAACTCGGAGTGGGACGTCAGGAGGTGGGTAGGACAAAGTTATCTTGGGTAGGACGTGCCGGACCGGACGGTGGAGGGGCGAGGCTGCGGGAGATGTGATGTGACGGAGAGGGATTATCACCGTGATACATGGATTTACTCGCACTGGGCGAGGAAATAAAACCCATGTCTGCATCCGATACAGAGAGATAAGGAGGGAATATGAATACATTATGATGGGCTAGCCCAGTTGACGACTATATGTTCTGTTAGGTATTGTTCTCGTGTCTTGTTTTCCAATTTCTTACTACTATAGGTACATGGACGTCGCTGGTTTTATCGTTTGAGAATCAAACTACAAAGGGGCATGTTGCATTACCATGCTTACCGTTCAGATGAAAGAACGATAACCTTCCCAGGATTGTTTTATCTCATTTGTGTCATATTCCCGAAATTTGTCCTTGAGAGTGTCATAAACAGCGGCTATCTGAGGGCAGTATCGACACATGACAAGACTCCCGGATTACCTCGAGATACTCTATCTCACGCACATGAGTCCGAAGAGTGCTCTTGGACTTCAGCGGAGATTGGTGGCTAATAAGTGCTTCGGACGTAAGGTCTAATCATCTAATGCCTCTTGCGGCATTGCTGTTTTGTACAATGCTTCAAGACAGTTTTATCGATGTCACGATGAGAGCTAGTTGGAAAATGATTGGGTAAAGCACTTTCGTGATTACGTTCTTTTGGAGCAAATTAAAGCTGCTAATTGTCGCTGGTTTTGTCATTCTAAATAGTTTTGGTTTGTTTCATAAACAAATATGCGGCAAAGTAACAAAGTAACGTATCTGTTTACCGTGGGGCTGTTTTATCTGCTGTTTTATCTCATGCCGTATTTGTATTGAGGCCTCTATCCATTCTCTAATCCGTCAGCTACCGTGCTGAGCTTCGGAAAGGTGGCGACATCAATAGTCGGAACGTTTGACAAATCGACCTATTAATATTAATGTAATGAGGCACGCGCGAATTTGACTTCTAAATTCAAATCTACAAGTCATCGTCTATCGAGTTAGGTACCTATGCCATGAAAGAAAGACTGGCCATGATACTTCCTGGGATGGACGGCTACGAATTGGAATTTGTCCGGTGTTAAATTTTAAATGGCATATGTGTTTTAGGGATCATCTCAGTCGATTTATGTTCTCGTAAACCCGTTCACCGTAAATCGCACATTTTTTTGCTGTCGTTAGCATTTTACCAACGCTAGTTTTAGCGAACCATTACCAAAGTTGAAGCAAGTTCAGATGTTTCGAATCTCGTTTGCCCCGTGCGCTTATCGACGATCACTTACGAACCGTGAGCCCAATAAGGTGCGGGATGCGTCTGCAATCACGCCCGCCACCCGATCGACAGCACCTGGGCTCTGAAATCGACCCGTGCAGCGGATATCCGATCACGACTCGCACCGTTTCCCCGGTGGTATTCGGTGTCGGTGTCCGGCGCAGAGGCGCGGCCTTGGTCAGCACAGCGAACCGTCGACCGTTGGACCGCCGAGCCGTTCAAACGCGAACGGCACCGAGCGTGACGCCCGACAACGGTCAGAGTCGGTGGAGGCCCGATCGACCTTCCCTGCGGCGGCCTGATCGGCAAATATTGATTGGCCTCATCTCATCTCCCAGTTTGGAAAGGAAACGTTTAGAATAGTTGTTGGCGGTTAGTGTGGTCAGGCTACTAAAAGCTGTGGATGTAATTGCCATCTAGCGTACTGCCTTGATAATTGGTGTCATTTTGCGGTGCTCAACTGCATGCAAATTGTAGCAAACAAAAGATAGGACCTCAAAATTTCACAATATCTGCTTTTTTAGGGATATTAAGAAATCAAGAGTGGGGAAAAGGCATACAAGCAAAGGCTAAAAAATAATAGAATCTGGCCACCGCTTCCATATCCATAAAAGCGGCAGTTACGAGTGGACGTAGACGAGTGTGGTCAACGGCAAACTCTGGACGCTGACCTTGGAGAGAGAAGCTGGGCGTGTTTCAGTTTCTGGTAGTTTCGGTTGTTTTATCAGGCTTATCACTATATGGAGGTTCTGTTCAAACCAAGTTCAAACAAGACTTATTTGTTTTACATAATGTGACTGAGTTCTGGAGCTGGTAGAGTGGAGAGGGGAGATGTAGTGCGGTGTATTCCATTTGTTTCCCTAATCCCTGGAAGAGGATTGTGATCTGTCGACACATCTCAACCTTCCACAGCCTCAGCCTGACTATATTTGAATTTTTACCTGAGGCATAAGTCTTTTGATCATTTGAATTGCTTTGTGTCAGTCATGTATTTAACCAGTGTAAGATTGCATTGATCGCTATGGCAGAAGATTCTGAAATGAACACACCATGTGAATCTGGGTAGGTTTACGAACAATCTACCTATATACCAGCATAATATGTCAATGTTCCCTGACCAGGAATTCCAATTTTTCAGATTTACTAGCATTACCTATCTTTTGTAATATCAATTTGGTCATTGGTGGGTCAGGGTTGCATTACAAAGAATTGGTGTTGTGGCCACTTTCAACTCAAACTACCCATCCTAAGTTTTTCATGCTCATGCATAAGGTGTGTCTGCACATCACCATTATGGGGATTTGAATTCCAAGCTTATTCCCTGCTTCTTGAAAGGTTTTGCATTTCTTTGGTGATATACCTAATGTCTGATTGAATATTCACAGGACCTGGTCCCTGTACGGAGACCAGGATGCTGACATGCTGTCAGCCAACTCTGAGGCCTCTGTGTCACCGCTGCCACCTGATGAGGAGATGGTGACGGGACCCAGGTCTCTGCAGACCAATCCAGGAGCACCATCCCCCACCCCCAGCTCAGGTGAGAGTCAAGTGGTTACTGGTCAGCCTGTGCTACTGTTCAGCATGGCATAAGGAGTGAGATTTCTCTACTAGTATTAGGTAGTAGATTGATATGCATAATTCATTTATTAATTTTGTCCTGATGAAGTTTTGATCAGGATATATTTTCTTTCAGGTTGTGCTTGCTGTGTTGTACCATTGTTCAGCTCATACATAGATAACAGTAGAACTGCTACCGTAGTTCCACTGTTATCTATGGCTCATACTATGGTAACAAATTGGTGCAGTTGATTTATATTGGCTACGGGTCAAGGTCAGCATACTATTGTTTATCAAGTAAACTACCATCTGTGGCATTCTTGCAACTAACTAGTCTGCATGCTGATACATGAGGTTGTTCCTTTTCCCCACCTTACAACCACTTCCCACCTTTTTCTGCAGAGAGCGTCTTGCAGAAATTCCGTAAAAGCTTCAGTTTACGGTTCTACAAGCGGGGCGTGGCGAGCGCGGAGCCTGCGGCGCCTTCCCGCGGCCGGCCGCCGGCCGCCGGTCGTCCCGACGAGGACGAAGATGAGGACGACTGTGACGACTGCGAGGACTGTGACGAGGACGACGGAGGTCCTCGCGCCGGCGGAGCACAGGGAAGGCGTGCCGACAGGTCCGTGGAGAGCGCGGACTGCGCGGCCGGAGAGGATGACCCCATGGACGGCGGACTGAGGTGAGCGTGGGCGGATGGGTGGGATGTGTAATTGCTTCATTGGTGCTACAGTTGTGTAATTTATCACCCTCAGAAATGTCTTAGGCATTTATGGTAGGCCACCCTGCATAGCTGATAGTCAAGGCTTGTTCCGTACAAAATTAACTGCTCATTGAGGCCTCAGGAAATTGTTCAGTGGTAAGGGAGTAGGCCAAACTGAAATTTCGATTATAGACGTCGAAAGACCGACCTCGTCGACGCCAACGCATGAACGCATCATCCATGTTTGGCAGCGTTCACTTCAAATGGCCGCCCTCTGTCATCCAAACACGGGAAGTGTCTCCTTTACTGCCTCACTCAATGGCACTCATATCGGAGACGATTGCCGTTTTTGTTGACACTGGCACGCATTCCGACCGCAGTTCGAGTCTGTCCTTGAGCGGCCGGTACCATTGTCTGTGTGAGCACACCGTGAGAGGTACCGCCCGCCGTTTATGGCTCTCTGTGTGTGATCGGACTGGGCTGGCGTGCCGGAGATTGTCTCCTTACCGGGACGGCGGGACCATCAGATGACCCGGCGTCGTGACTGGAACAGCCCGCTGCCTGCCGGGGAGGGGGTTGTTCTGGGCTGTGAATGTGGGACAGAGTAGTGGGGGTGTCACAGAATGGACGGGTGATGACAGTTCTGGCTTGCGATAGCTGTTCTCTGGGGATCTGAGGACTTACTGCCGAATGCCTAATAATTTCCGGCATTCTTCTTTCGTTGGATGTAGTCGCAATAGACTTTTAAATGTCTAGCTTAGCGGTTTGCTGTGAAGTAAGCATGATCAATAATCTTTGTAATAGATAGTATGCATTGCGATAAAATCACGGTGGATTATTGGCCATAAAGATCATGATCCTATTTACATCGGCGCAACGGCAATATTATACCTCAGCGTGAGTTTGCACTCCACTTTAGCCCGACTACCCTATTGACCTAACCCGCCCGCCCCTCCGCCCACAGATTGCCCCGCGCGTGGCGCTCCAGCAAGGAGCGGCGCCGGCGGCTGAAGAAGGAGGCACGCAGCGCCAAGTGTTCGAGCGCTGACAGCGGCGACAGCGGAATTCAGCTGGAGACGGCGGCGGCCGCCGGGATGGCGGACAGCCCCGGCGTGCGGCGGAGGCTGCGCAGCACCACTGACGCAGAGGATATATCGTCAGAGCCCCGCAGGGAGAAGAGACCCCTCTCGGATATTTCGGGCAGCTCAATCATCGAGGAGATCAAGGTGGGTGCTCTGATTGGAGGTCGTGGAGTTAAGACAGTGTGTGATCGTCAGGATCAGGGAAAGGGATGTTACTCGATCCTACTTTTGGTGTCAGTGTCCTGAATTGAACCGAATTGATTGTGCTGCTCTTAATTCTGTAAGACCAGGAGAATTTGTACCACATCTCCAGGGAAAGTAGGAGATAGCTAGGGCAGATATCGGAATTTGTCTTAAGTTTCAACTCGACAACCAGACTGAGGTTATCCGCCAGATCTTCCTCTCTGGGAGGCCGGGTCGGGTCGTTACCCGTTTAACGCCACAACTTCAAAGATGCGACGAGCTACAGATTTAAAACCTTTCCTCTAAAAGCATTTAACGAGCCTCTTAACGGACATTTCACACCACTTTAACTCTCCGCCCCGTATCACGAAGACAGGAGAAATTTACGGCTGCTTGTTTATGACCAGGATGAGTGCGGACTGAAACAAGTCGTCCGGTGTCGTGTCGAACGTCTTTCTCCGTGATGCATTTCCCTCGTCTGACGAAAACCCGAGTCCCAGATCACCAGATAGTTTGTAGGGAGGCATAGTTAGTTTGCGCGTGGGCGTTGACGGATCGGTGTATGCTGTCACACTGTGTCCGTCTGGGAGGTCCTATTGAGGTAAAGGGCCTGTGGGCGGCACGGAGAGCGACGTCGGGTTTCGGCGTGCTTTGATGCTCTCCGTTGGTCCTCGGCTGTGGATCCTAGTAGGGTCTGGAAACAGCGTTCCGCTTTATCATTGTTCGGTTTTAACTTGCGCACGGTCAATTTTCGTGAACGAGAATCTTGTTTTCCATCGCCAGCAAACCTGCAGCCATTTGAACTCAAACTAGGTCCTCGGCTCCAGGAAGGATTCCGCCGATCCCGGATACACCCATTGTTTGCGGCTGCCCGGCTGCATTCCTCCGTGCCCCGCGGTGTAACGGACGGTACTCTCTGATACCACGCTGGCGGGACTACCTACCAGGCCACGACCGCTGATAAAACCCCGGCCGGCCGCTGGCGGCCCGTCACGGCGCACCTGTGCGTGACTGATAGCGGCGGCGGCTCCGATAGTGACGCCCGGTGACGCCGGGTGACCCGCGGTCACCGCTTGGGCACCGGCCCGCCGCTGAACAATGACCCGGAGACCGGAACGGAACGGTCAACGGTGTGGGTGGAGGACCTCAGCGTTACTTGGACGACGACAACGGGGCTGGATACTGGAGATGGGCTGAAGTTAGTTGTATGTGGTTACGACCAGTGCTTACTTTGCCTTTTTGGAGCTTGGCGATCCGTTGTTGTTCCGTTTTTTGAAATCTATTTCGGAAGAGCGACGCTTTTGTGATAGCAATATACCCAACGATATAATCAACTTCCGCGTAACATATTTTCCACGGGCATTGCGTGTGCGGCCCATTTCTCCGTCTTGTTCACACCGTAGTAGCGACGACAGGCGCTCCCTCATTCAGCTGGAGCGGTCATCCATCCATCGCTGTGTCGCCACCCGGTTGTTGTGCCTCCCCCCCCCCCCCCAGGCTCAAACGGCTCTATCCTCACCAACTCCCGTGCCGCTGGGCCCTTCATAGCCCGGGGCGGTGACGGTGAACCGAGTCTTCCCCCTCTCTTGCGATTTTTGCCGCGAATCCGCGCCTGTCACCAGGATTTTTCGACAAGTCGCACGGAGCCTGAGCGAAAGTTACGCTCGTCGCTCATTAGTGTATCTGCCGCTGCGTAACGAACAGACGTGTGTGGGAGGCGGCCGGTGCGCCTTCCCACCCCGCTTCCTCCGCCAGTCCACTTACACGGGTGCACAGCGGCGACGGGCGCATGGCGCCGGCGAAAGGGATTCATTATGCGATGACGCATGCTCGTACCTCCTGACGTGGGTGAGATTTACCTAGCTCTAATGACGTGCTAGTCGGTGATAGTGTCCCTAAATTGCGATTACATTATTTGACACGTGTTGCCTTACAGTTCCCACCGGGCTCGTGAGCTATGTGACTACATGGGTTTGTTTTGAATCGTGACTTTAATTTGCGAGACATCGCGATCGCCTCAAGTCGTGACGAAAGCACTGCGGCGGTTGTGACGTCAGACAACAGAGCACACGGCATAATGACGTCACCGCGTGAGACCGACATGTTTGTTACGAGATCCCGGTCCAGCCCGGGCGATTAGGTATGCTGTCCTGACTCTTGATAGTGTTCTTGGTGAAGGTACTTTTTAGGTAACTGACTAAGAAGTCACTTGTGCGAACCAATCAAGGCACTTGTGAACAGTATGAAGCTTCATTTGTGAAGGCGCCGTTATCCAGGCCCGTCCCCGCGCCGTCCCACGCGCACTTAGGGCGGCCGGCGATGGTTTTATGCAGGCGCGTTATCGGCGGAACAAACGAATTCCGCCCTTATTGGATGGTGGGCGGAGATAGCGCACTTATCACCTCTCATTGGTATACCATGGCGCGGAGATTGCCGGCAAAGCTACGCAGTTTTCAATAGAAAACCTGACAGCATGTGAAAATTATACCCATGGGTGGAGACAATTGTATTGGATTAAAGCAAATCTGAAAATAAAAGCCGAGTTCCGTGTGGTACTGGAGCGCCTTGGCCTTCTGACCTTAGCTAGCTCAGAATTTTAGTAATTAATCGACCCTTGCCACGCCGACGCTTGCTCATTTTCCTTGGCGAGTTCACTGAAAACGAAGAATCGACGGGGCGGTTGTTTTCCTTCTGTCGTTCACGCCAGTCGCCAGCCGTCGCAACTGTCGCTCTAGGACCATTAATCAACATTTGAATTGCGTTTATGTTTTAAAAGAGCGCGTTTTTACAGCAAACGCCTGCCTCGGAGGACCAAACAGTACCACTCTAATGCCGCCGACATGGCCTTGTGGGCTGACTGCGGCCTGAATCACACGATTTCCTCAATGGGAGTGGGTACAGCTGACTGCTGGGGTGGGAACTGTACCCTCTGCATCCAATCTATCGTATGACTGGCCTCTCTCATCGGCCTTAGATCTACAAATGTACACAAAAAAAAGACCACATCACGTATTAGGCGCACCTATTTCGACTAGATCCCGTCCAAACCAAAGCAAACCGAAGTCACTCCCAGATCCCTATCCTACTCGAGCTGTGTTTTCCCAGATCCAGATACGTCAGATACAATCCAGATCCACACCAGACCACAGACCGTCGCCGCCGCTGCCGCTGTTCGGTGACATGACGTCACGGCTGCTATCGGCACGTCCGTCCGTCCGTTTGTGTGGTGGACAGTGGTCGGCTCGGCTTGATTTGGCCTTCGAGGACGGCCCTGGCTGCACGAGGAAGGCACTGCGACAGCGGGCAGTAGCGCGCCTGCAGTGGAGCAGTGGCGGGCGGCGGTGGAGTGGCTGTGAGGCGGTGTTGGTCTGCAGTGGAGAATTAGTAGTGTTGGTGAATAGTGAGAGCTGAGCAGCCTGTGTGTGGCGGCAGCTAATAGGCGTACTATGGACGTTTGGGTGGTTTGATCCAGTGACCGGACGCGACGGAGCGTAGCGTACCGTGTGTGGCCACCTCTCCTCGATCGCCGGATACGATACTAGGGGAAACCGTCCTCTGGCGCAACGGAGGAGAGCAGAGCCCGACTGTCAGGTAGGCGCACCGGGACGGGGCCCGGACGAGCAGGAATGTCCCGGCGATTGGGAGCGAGCCGGCAGCTGTGTCGAAATGTGAGCGGAGAGATACGGTGTCGAGACGGATCAAATGAACCGTAGGAGCGACCAGCTGACTTCTATCTCCGTACGTACGCTTCAGTGATTCGACTGGAACGAGAGGGAAAGTGGTGGCAGCGTTTAGCTTTCTGTAGATTCTTCCGCCTGGTGTCTGAGCTGGTGGCTTCTAAGCTCATTTGATTTGCTGGTGTCATGCTTACCACTGCAATCTTAGTAGGCTCTATCCTAGTGATATGCTCGCCTCTTTCATTGTCTGATATTCTACAGCCATGGTGCTAGCAGGCTTGAATCGCCCCCTGTTCCATAAGATTCATGAACCTCGGCCAGCGCTGGACGGTGCCGTGGCTGCACGTGCAACAAAAGGAAGACTACAAGGAAAGTTCCTGATCTCATTGCCGCCGTTCGATTCACTGGGCGTGTATAACGGCATTTTCCGTGGTGCCGTGCAGAGGTGCGACCTTTCCTGGTTGGTAACAGGGGGTGTCACTAACTGCAGAATGTCACTGACTCGTATCGCGTCTACCTTGAGTGTCTAAAGCATCAGAAGCTGTCAGTTGTCATATATGGTTCCAGCTCTGTCAAAGATGGTTATTTTTGTACATGCACCCAATCAGAAATGTAGTCCAGTGATCGCGACCTCCTGAATTTCACCTCTGTACTCCCGACTAACGTGTCGCCACGGTCGCCAATCGCCATTGCACCCTCACCCCCTCCATAGAAGGCGCGACTGAACACGTCACTCCCCGCCACGTGCAATCGACTGAGTGATGCACATCCTGCCAATGGCGGAACGGGAGGGACCGACTTCCACTCAGACCTTCCTTCCTTGTGGAGCCTTCCCTCCTGCAAACTGTCCGATCCATCACACGGCTGGGTATTATTATTATTATTATTGTTTATTCAGCATCGTCATGCGACAAAAAGAAACATAGCCCCCCCCCCCCCCCACCCACCCCACCCACCCACACACACAGTTAATCAGCACTCAGGAGGTTAGTAGTCTTAACAGGCGCCGCGAGGCCTGACAGTTGCTTGCCAAAACCATCTTCAAACTGTCTATAAGACCGCTTTCTTGGAGTGGTGCCCGGACTATGTCGTGATCGACGTACCCAGCAGCGATGTGCATGATAGCGCCGAAATTCCCACCACACAGATTATATACGTGGCCAATAAACGACCCATCCAACTGCTCGGGGTACGTAGCAAGTCTGGCCAGTCCAGTGACGTAGGCTTGGCGAAGACGGTGGTCAGCGCGGAAAGCATTACGGAATGCGCGGAGGGCATCACCTCGCAGCACCTCACCGATGCGAGGCACCCCAGCAGCAATCAAAAGAGCCGTATGGTGCGCAGAACGCGGCAGACCCAGCGCTGCCTTGATCAGCGAAGCCTGTCGCGAGTCTAGACGCTCAATGTCGGCGGGGCTGAGGGGAGCCGTCTCACAGCCGAAGATCAGTGCCGGCAGCACTACTGTCTTCCAGAGGAAGATTTTGTCAGCAGCAGTCAGGCGGTTGGTGAAATTGCCCAGGGGTGTGAGGCCATAGAATGATGCACAAGCACGCCTGATGCGCTGAGCCACGTGGCTGTCTGTGCTGAGGTTGTCATCAAGCACCGTACCGAGGTGCTCGGTCGTCTGCCGGATCTGCAGCTGCTGTCCTGACAGTGTCTACCTCGGTGTGCTCGTGAATAGTTCCTGTCCAAATATAATACAATGGCTCTTGGTTTTTCCCGGTTCAGGGTGAACGAAGTCGAGGCGCCAAGTAGCCGCGAATTCTCCCACCATCTGCAGCATTGCACCGAGGTCACGCGCGTTCGCAGATATAAGGAGAATATCGTCAGCGTAGCAGATAGCGGGTACGTGCTGGCTGTGTAGATATGCTCCACGACCGCTGCGATCTAGGACCTCAATAAGAGGTAAGAGGAAGATGTTTGCAAGGGTTGGCGATAAGATGGCCCCTTGTCTGGTGCCCCTGCAGACCAGGAACGCTTCAGATGTGGCGCCACCAAAAGTCATCCTTGCAGAGAGGTGGCGGTACCAGGTGACCATGAGGCACCAGCAGTAGTCGCTAAGATAATCTTCCAGACGGAAGAACAGACCGTCATGCCATATTCGGTCAAAGCATTTCCTCGCGTCAAGGTTTGCGACAAAAACAGGAAGACCCCTGGCTCGATTCTGCTGTATGGTCTCTCCAGCCAACAGAGACGCTTGCATGGTGCCCCGATTGGAGATAAAACCAAACTGCAGATGATGAGGTTCAAATGAGGCGTTCAGTTCGTCTAGCACTAACAGCTCGAGCAGCTTAGATGCGCAGGTTGTGATTGAAATCGGTCGATAGTTGTCCAAGCAGTTAGGGTCCGATTGAGATTTCTTCAACACGGGTACAATAACGCTGTCAGCGAAGGTAGCTGGCACGCTACACGTGGACAGGCAGACAGAGAGAAGGTGCGCCAGAGCTGACAGGAGACAAGGCGACTGACCATAGAGAAGGTGCTCCGCCGTGATGCCGGATATCTGCATATCTGCCGGGTATCTGCAGGATGGGCCATGTCAAAATTAATTTCAGTTTGCTGCTGATGTTTTGGTTGTTTTTGTCGTTGGCATTACATGAGTCATTCGCACATGACTCGCAGGCCAGCAATGTTGCAGCCAGTAGTCGGCATTCTGCGTATTAGCTATACCGCGCAAACAGCCCTCGTCATATCCGCTCAGATGTTTGTGAGGTCCGTGGGAAGGAAATTCCACCAGTCAGGTGTCAACGCCGTGCCGGTGTTGCAGTGGTTCACAAATCACACCTGTTCGTTCATCTCGCCGCTCCTGCCGAGCAAGTTACCATTCTCCTTTCAGTGTTTGTGCGTGTGTATGACGGGGCCTCATGTGGTTCCGTGGTCGGAGCTCATGAACACGCCTCTTTGTGAGCTGACTTGACTTTACCTCACATCGAATCTGTCTGGGCTGACCTGACCTCTCCCTCTATGTGACCACTCTAGACCTCCCCTCGCGCTCTGTCTGACCCGACCTAACCTCCCCCCACCCTTCCCCACAGGCCGGTCTGCAGAGCGAGGTGAAGCGTCGCAGTAAGCTGGTGCGTCGCACCCACTCGGACTTGGGCTCGGACTTGGTGCGCGGCTACAGCCGCCAGATGTCCCAGCCGGCGCCGATCACCGAGCACCCGGCCTCGGCGGCTGACGGCCGGCGGCCCCACCACCACCACCACCGGCTCAGAAAGAGGTGGGCACGGTGGGGGAGGACGGGGAACGGTGGCGGGGAGGGGGATGGGGAACGACAGAAGGTGGGGAGAGAAAGACGAAGCAGGCGGAGAACAGCAAGGGAATGTGGCGATTAATGAAGACAATATTTTAAGTCGCCCCGCTAGGATGCAAAAATTAAGCAACCAGTGTGCAAACAGGAGCACACCTACACCAGCTCATATTCCGTCACCTCTTCCGTTACGACTTGCAGTCTCTCACGTGCAGTCCTTTAGTGTAACGTATTCCAATGTCACACGTGACGCACGTGTTCTCGCTAATCGTTCCACTGTTGGTGACACTTGAAGCCCACCACGTGTCTGAGCTAGTTGTAAGAAATGGTAGCTATCTGAGCCGCTGCATATAGTAATTAACCACTGCTCTCTAAGAGTTGCTGAGATGAAATCAGACCCATCTCCGCGTACGTATGTAGTGTGCGGAGTTTGTTGATAGGGTTGTCTGCCACGCCGCGGGTGACGATCCATCCGACGTTGCAGGACTTCTTGAGAGAGTGGGAGGGTTACATTTCGAGTGGTGGGGGAATACATAAAGACGTATAAAAGAGGGATGTTTAGTAAGCTAGATGAACGTCTGTGACCTCTAATTTCGATGTCCTGACCACTTTGAGTCACCATTCACAAAATGACTGTGTATTTTCAACCTTCTTGTAGAACGGGTTAACGCTATTTCCGCAGCTCTCCGCTGTACCCACCAGTAAATGAATTGGTCATTGTAGCCGCTCCCATTGTCATTGTGGTGACTCGAACAGACGGAGGTAGCCGTGTCTAAATGGGTCATTGTGGGAGACCTCAGTCTTCAGACATTCACTTTGGAGACATTGTCTCCCACGACAAGAGTGGGTTTTGTTTGGGCTCGGGTTGAAGCGGGTTTGTTGGATTGTTTCACTGTCTGGCAGCGCTGTTACGCAGGCGGCCGAGAGTGATGGTAGAAAGTGGATGTGAGTCTGTGTGGTATTGCAGGGAATGGGATGGCTTTGGTGACCCCTTAGGTCGCATAGGAGTCGCGTAGAATGATGCCTTTCCCTTTCAGCCGCGTTATGAAACAACTGAACATGATACGAACGTTACATCTCGGCTACCTAAGCTGATTTATCCACATAAGAAATCTGATATCCTGGGTTTCGTTCAATGCCGTTGGCCTCTGTTTTTAATTATTCGCTGCTAGGTGCTCGACCTGAGGTCTCAGCTAAGGAGTGAACCAAGTACAATGCCTCACAATCTTCACCAAAGCCACCTCGTGGCCTTCGCAGCTCTGTCCGCCCTGTGACCTCCCATATCTGACCTCTGACATCCGCTCTCGTCTCTCGTCAGCCTGGGCCGGGCGCGCGGCGCCTCCCGCCTGCGCCGCTCGCTCTCCGACCCCAGTGTGGCGCCCTCTCCACCTCGGCAGCGCCGGCCGCCGCCGCCCGCCGCCGGCCACGCCACCGACGACGACGCCATCTCTGAGTCGGACGAGGAACTACTGTCGGACGATGAGAGCCGCCGCAGGCCGGTACGTGGGGTGTGATTGTGATAGTAATAATTCAGGGTAATAGCCAGCTCGCTTGGAAGGTTGTCATTTATTCTAGCTGGTTATTTTTATGCTTTAAATCACAACGAACTATGCATTTTGTATTTCTGATCACGCTTATTTTCCATTTTCCGACTTTTTCATTTCATCCAAATTCCAACCTTTACAATCCTTTTCACGAGCTGGACAAATTTCTGATCACGCTCAATCATCTATTTTTCAATTTCTTCTCAGTTCTCATCCATCTGCAACCCCTTAAGATAACCTGGCTAATAACCCCCTCCCTCGGTTCCGCAGCAGCACCTGGTGCGCACGTTCGAGCCGGCCGAGGACTCTGTGGTGTACGCCGAGGCCCACTGGGACTACATCACCCTCGACCCCGAGGAGCTGGCCTTCAAGGCCGGCGACGTGATCGAGGTGCACGACTGCTCCGACCGGCACTGGTGGTTCGGCGCCCATCAGCAGAACCAGGGCTGGTTCCTGGCCGCATTCGTACGGGTGAGTGATGGCTGGAGGATAAGAGGGAGACGTTGATAGGCGAGGGAGAAAGAGGTGGTTCAATGACTCATTGAAATGAATTGCGAGAGAGCTTCATAGCTGTTTTGAGTTGAATTGCGAGAGAATTTGATTGGGAGGATTGGAATGCAGTTGAGCTAGAGAAAGACCGGGTGTATCAAACGAATGTCTGGACAGGATATAATGATTCAGCCTGGCCACTCTACTCCACCTGCCCGACTCTCCCACATCCACTATGACCTAAACCTGACACCCCCCCCCCCCCCCCGGCAGCTACGAGTGAGTCAGGAGGAGACGGTTGAGGAGACTCTGGACGCCATCCGTTCGGGCGCCGCGCGGCCGCAGCTCAGTCGCAAACAGTCTGTGTCGCTGCTGTCGCACGACCAGGTGCGCGCCAAGGTGGTGATGGAGATCCTCAGTTCCGAGCGCGCCTTCGTGCAGGACGTCGGCAACGTCATAGAGGTGAGGAAGGAGCGGGGGAGATGGGACTGCACTAAAATCACACATCATTATCAGAGGGGGGAGGAGAAGCGGGGAACTGGGATGGTCAAAATAAGCAAGCGTTCAGGTGCATGCAAGCTGTTTTTTTATAATGCAGCCTTGACCTAAGATTTGTTATCATTCAGTAACACATCTCTGTGATATTGCTGCAATACCTACCCCAAAGGTACTGCAATGTTATCTTGTGTTTTTCTGGTTCACTTGATTGTTGGTTTACTATTAATTTTGAATCAACTTCACAAATATGGCATACCATTGAAGTACCCTCGCCATGCCTACCGTGATGGGCCTCCCCCTGACCCCTTTCCCCGTCTCCCCTCGACAGGGCTACCTGCGTCAGGTGGTGCGCCGGCGGGACCTGTTCACAGACGAACACGTCACCACCATATTCGGCAACATCGAGGAGCTGCACCGGTTCCAGACGGAGTTCCTGCGGCGACTGGAGAGTCGTGTGGACCGCGCCCGGCCGCACGCCAGCTGCATCGGAGCCGCCTTTGTCGAGTTTGTGAGTGATGCGCGGGGAGTTGGAGGGCGAGTGGGTGTTACCCTATGGGTAGGATGGGTATCGGTTGTTTCATGTATCCCAAGTGGGGCATTGTTTTTCTATTTGTTTGTCCGTCATTCTATATAAGATCTGACAGTTTGTGTTGTGATTGTCTATCAAAAGTATTGATATCCAATCGTGCAACATAGTCTGCCCACTTTTCAAGACTATTTTGCATCACGCTGTGCCAGAGGCTGTCGCAGCATGTCTAAACACCGCCCAGCTGTCAACTAACACCCTTCCTCCCTCCCCTCAGCAAAACGGTTTTTCGATATACGCCGACTACTGCAACAATCACCCGTCTGCGGTGTCGGAGCTGCAGCAGCTCTACCAGAACAACCGCTACATCCACTTTTTCGAGGCGTGCCGCCTGCTGCGCGACATGATCGACATTTCCCTGGACGGCTTCCTGCTGACGCCCATCCAGAAGATCTGCAAATACCCGCTGCAGCTGGCCGAACTGCTCAAATATACAAAGGTAGGTGGATGTAAGAGGCTGGTCGGAGATGAACGCTCTAGATGACCGAACTTTAGCTCCGGGTATTCATATTTTTTTTTTACTGTAGTGTGTCTTTGAATTCAATACCACGATCCTACAGCTCATATTCTACAGGATACCAGGAAAGAAGTAACTTCTCTTCGTCTGCTTTTAAAGTGTGTATTTTGGTATCACCAACAGACCTTTGTCCACTTACAAGCGAAGACTACGCCGCACTTGTAAGGCGTGGTCCCGTACCACTGCGCCTCCTCTGACGTCTCCCCGGTCCCACAGACGGACCACCCGGACTACGAGCACGTCCGGCAGGCTCAGGCCGTCATGAAGGCGGTGGCCATGGGCGTCAACGAGTCCAAACGGCGCATGGAGAGCCTGGAGAAGCTGGCAGCCTGGCAGATGAAGGTCGAGGGCTGGATGGTGAGGACACGGGGAGGAGAGGAGAGACGGCTAGGCCAAGCCGGGGGATTGGGGAGGTTTGGATGGAGGGGCATTTAGAAGGACATGAAGACGTATTATAATGCCTTCTGCCTGAACATTGGTCCGAGAGAAAAGGAAACTATCCTTGTTAGTTGTTACTGATTTGGTACACTTGATTTTTCATTATCTCTATTTTGTTTGTCTTATTGGACGAAAAATTCGTTACAGTAGCCATGTTTTCTAATTTCCATCGCCTAACCCCATGTTCCTCGTTCCAGGGTCCGAACCTGTTAGACACCAGCTCGGAGCTGATCCACCAGGGTGAGGTGACCAAGCTGACCTCGTCCAGCTGGTCCAAGGAGGTGTGCACGCTCTTCCTGTTCGACCACGTGCTCATCTACTGCCGCAAGGACCTGCTGAAACGGAGCGTGCAGCAGTTCCGCGGCAGGATCAACCTGGATACGGCACATGTGGTCGACCTCACTGACGGAAAAGGTGCGAATCGGAGGATGCTGGAGAACGTTTGGGGACGAAGATGTCCCAATGGTGCTCTTAGTCACTGGTTTAGTCAAGATGTTTGCATAACTATGAATTTGCTCATGACGAGCGCTCAGAAGGTCTGGTTGTACTGCCTCTCCGTTTTTCAATCGTTCTTTTAGTTCAATTGCAACTGTTTTTACTTTGTTGGCTATATTTGAGGTGGATTTATTCATGTGCCGGATATTCAGAGCTATTGACGCCAATTTCTGATAGATACGACAGTGCTGTTCTGACGCCCTCGTGTCCGCCTTGTCCACAGACGAGTTCTCCGGAGCGACGGTGAGGAACGCGATCCGTGTTCACTCGCAGCTGAAGAACAAGTGGTACGTCTTCTGCTGCAAGTCCGAGGACGAGAAACTGCGCTGGATGCTCAAATTCCGGTCAGTACCTTGGCGTAAAAGAGAGTGGTGGGAGGGGTTTTCCTCGGGAAGCTCTGTGGTTGATTTGATCCGTGTTGAGGGGAATGTCATGCGCTGATATTTTGGTAATGGCAGATATCTTACGCTCTGGTATGCTCGTCCTCCGAGTTTTGCAATGTACGGATGACTAACAAGTCTATTTGCGTCGGGTTGTTCTTGCTCCAACGATTGGAATCTACTTTCGCTCATGAATCATACAAGAAAAAGGCACTGAATACTTGTTACAGGATGACAGCCATTTTTTCTCCGTGTATGCCCGTCCTGACAATGTCTCGGTGCTGAAATTGTTTTTCTCACCTTTGTCTCGTCTCTCCTTTTCAGGGAGGAGCGGATACGGGTGTGTCGGGACCACGAGAACGGCTTCCGGGTGTCTGACAAATTCCGCCGACTGGCCCAAATCGCCGCCAGAAATCACCAGAACACGCCGAAAAAGCCCAAAAGTGAGTACAAAGTCGCTAGACGGCGGGGTAGTGGTCTGCAGATTGAGTTTGGGAGTGTGTGGATTCCCCTAATAAGCTTCCTGCTGTGAATACCTGGCCGGGCGGGTGTTGCTTGGTTGGAGCGTTTGTGTGATAAATCGTAAACAAGCTCTTCGGCTATTCAACTGGGTGTTGTGCTGAATCGGATGAGATATGATTATATGTTTGCTGCTTGTGGAGATTTCATCGCCCTCCTAAAACCTACGAACCCAGCGATTGCTGCATGAAACTGGAGAAGAATGTAAGGTAGCATTTTCTGCAAGGTTTGATATTATTTTTCCTCCCTCCCTGTGTTTTTTTTTTTTTTGTGGAACAAGAGGTGCACTCTCCTCTCCCGAATTATTTTCCTGAGGTTTCAACCGTTCATGCCCTGTCTCTTTCGTTCCCCGCTCTCCTGAACTTTGAGTGCAATGAGCGTTCTTCCAATAAGGGAGCCTCTTGGGACCTCGCCTCCCTCCCATGTTCTCATCCCTTCCACGCCCAGGCCCTAATTGACCCACGGGGCCGTCAAACATCGTTCCCTGACTGTGCCACGGGGCCGTCGGCAGCCCAGCACCCCCGTTGCCGGCGTCCCATGACGCTCTCCCAGGCCGAGCTGGTGCTCAGTGACGCCAGCCCATCCCCGGCTCCCAGTCAGGAGATCGTCAAACGCAAAGGCAAGTGCTGCCACCTCCCGGCAGCAACTCGCACTAACCGGCAATAAATTCATCACCTTCTCACCGCTAAAATAATGATCCGGCACCTAACCTTCCTTAGTGGTAGCCCCTTCTTAACCTAGCCACAGGCTTCTGCTAACTCGCTTCACAGGTTCTGCAGCTGGGCGGCGCTTTGTTCTGAGAGGTTTCCGTAGCATATGCCTTTGCCCTTTCACTCTGGTTCAGGTTTTCTTTGAAGCTATATTTAAAGAATCTTTAAGCATGTGCTAAATAATAGCATATTCTACTAAAATACGATTGAATTGATCTTATCTAGACGCAACATTAGTAGTTAGCACTTTCGACTTACACGTTTGACACGTTCGACACACACGACTTACACTCTGTAAGTCGTGTGTCACGACACGTTCGACACACACGACTTACACTCTGCAACACTCAAACATAACGATAGAAGGCGTAAATGAGCTCACCCATCTCAATAACAGTCTAAAGAACTCTCCTTTCCTCGCTAAATTCGACGTAAGATAGGCATGGATTGTCCTCTGCAATATGATAACTTTGTTGATTGTGAAATGTAAGTATAAGCAATAAAGCGGCAGCAGTTACGAGGAAACGGCGTGAGTCCTCGCGTCGGTAGTTCGCTACGTGTGTCCAGTGTCTGCATGTTGTAAGGTTCCCCTTGCCCATGCCCACGCCCGAGCTTATCTCGGACTCGAATTGGGTCAGTCACTTTTCACTGCAAATCCACAGATGACATCTCAGCATTCATGACTAACGGCCGTTTTTTGTTTCAGGCACTTGGTTCAGCTTCGGCAACAGCAAAAAGCGCAGTCGGGCAGCGCCGCACATCATCCACCAGCACCAGCTGGTGTAGGTGACCCGTCTCCATGACAACGAGCAGCCACACTCGTCGGCGCCGCCCGGCGGCCCGGCGTAGAAGCTGTAGTGCCTTCGGTGACCGCCAGGTGTCACTGGCGCGCCGGACCGTGGATCAGCTCCATCCCTCAATCTGTGATCGCTACTGTGTATGTGAGATTGTCGTTGATCATGCAATATTTATGGACTCTGTATGATTGCTCGACTTTTGATAGTGACAAGCCGCATATGCTAGAGTTTTTACATATTTGCATGTCGTAACATGTACTGCCCTAACCGACCGACCTCTGTCGTCTTTTATTGTTCTTTTTGCTCCGTCTGCTGTAAATAAACAACTCAGGGCGCGCTATAACGGTGGGTTTTTATGCGGCGCTGATAATGCGCTTTCGTCTGATGATTGGGGAGTGCGGTAGGCTGAACACCCAACCCAGTGCCCGTTTAACGTCGACCCTTACAGCGTTGGTAATGGTAAGGGTTGTTGCCAGCTGCAGGGGCATGTAAAGAAACACGGCTATTTCGACATCCAGCTGCGAGGAATGGGATAATATGTGCCCGGCGAGTTACCGGACATTAGATGAATGTGTCAGAGCAGCAACAGGCCGCAGCACGTTTGTCCGATAGCTCCCACACGAGCTCAGCATGTTCTAACGCCAACACCGCCCATGTTTTCCTTTGATGTTCTCATAATTCTACTCTGCGTCCCATAAGCTACTGCATGTATCTCGCTATATATTTTAGGATTACACGGGTGAATACCGTTCGCTTGGCGTTTCGTCGCCTGAAATTGCCGACAGAGTCACGCGCAGACCTTGACGCCGTTTACAATCCCCCTCCCCCTCGACCGGCCACCCCCTTCAGTTAACTTTAGTGAACCACAGCCCACGTTTGTCGAGTTGCTGAGAATGAGGGACTACGAGGGACGGGAATGGCTAGCGATGATCTATGGCTAGCGGTTTGCAGAATAGTCGACAGATATGTCAGCCGGATGATTCGTGTGGAGTAACATTCAAAAAATATTGTATTATGGCTACCATCTAGCGTACCCATTTCTACCAGCCATATTGCGTAAACATCTTACGATGATTTAATGCTAGTTGTGGATCTCTTCACTAGGGGAAGGGTGCCTCAATCGGAGAACAATCCATGCTTCCCGTTTCTGTCCGACGAACATCCCCTGCTTGACCTGATCCAACTCCTTTCTCATCCCCACCCGTCTTCGGTACCGAATCGCCATTTCTGAGTGAAGTGAACCAATCTTTTCGTGACTTACTCTAATCCCTTCCATCTCTTCCTCTCTTCATCCTGCTCTCATCCCACCTCTCCCAGAGCCCGGAGTGTGAGCCAGTGGCCGTTCAAGTGGCTCTCAGCCCTGCCCGGCGCCGTACCGCTTTTCTCCCGATCCTTCCCTCGGAGCACTCGTCTCGGTCGTAATAAGCCCTCGTCGAGCGGACAGTCGGCGAGTCGCCACTCACGCGGTCGGCTGCAAAGAGCAGCTACTGTCCGACGGCGTGACGACTCGGCTAGAATGTGGCAGCACAATGTCACAATACAGCAGACGGCTGAGGGAGGGGTGGGTGAGGGCCTCCTTTTGTCGACCGGGACTGCAAGTGAAGCGTGTGGTAAAAGAACCGCACAGTGCTCAGGGTCAAGATGTTTTAGGGTCAACTGGCTTTCTAAGCAGCTTAGCTGGGATATCAGGCCGTAAACAGGGTGTGGTCACCTGTTTACAGCGCGCGGCTGAGCTGTTTGATGCTCAGGCTCGCGACTCAGTTGAATTAGCCTGTCTGCAAATACCTAGCTACGACATGGGACGCTTACATCGAGGGATGCGGCCGTATCCCGTTCCTTGCATCCCTCGTTGTGGGGATTAGAGTCCGCGTCTTGTTTCGCCTACTGTGGTTTCGCCTATCTTTTTACCTTAAAAAAATACCTAAATAAGATACTGATGTTACGATTGTGCAGAGGAAAGTGGATATTTGATAGATTTACTGCTGTACTCATAGATTACGGTTTCTCATTAACTGAGTCTGAGTGGCAAGCTTAAATAATAATAAAAAACACAAATCATCGGTCACCGTTTCAGCCTCCTCGTAACAATGCTGGTTCTCCCGTTGCCGAAAATGTGTAGAAATTAAAAACGCAGGCCCTTCGTTTCAGCATGGTTCCATCGTCCTTCCTCCATTTCTTCGAACGCTGGCGCCGGCAATGCGCCCTCGGGGCATGGGTCACGTGACTTGGACCAGGGTGTATCGTCTCGCTCGACTCTCGAACTGCGCCGCAGGGCCGCAGGCTGCCCGGCGACCATCTGTTGCTAGGCGACTGCGGGGCGGGGGGGGGGGGGGGAGGGGAGCAGCGCCGCAGTTGTGCCACGAGGAATGGTGCGAGGAGGGCGTGTTTTGTTGACCGTGAAGAACAAACGAGATTTCTGTGGCTTATTAAGTGGTGGAAAACGATGTCGATTGCTTAGAAGCTGACAACTACCGAAATAAGGAGATCGTCACGCCTCACGGGTAGAGACTTCACGGCTTCTCGGTTCATTTCGAGTTACAAGAGGAGTGATCCAGCCTGACGTTCCATGGCGGTAAGTCCGGTCTCTGAACCGAATAACTGTATTGTCATATTTGCGATTTGACCTTTGACAGACTGCTGGCCCTGCAGTGGCACTGATCGCACTGCAATAGCAAAGAAAGCGTCTGGAAAAAAAGTGGCGGTACCACACCAGACACGTCCACGTGCACGCTCCGAGTGATGGATCTATGATCTCAGTGGATCTCGAAGCAAACTGCAGCCGCTAGGATCCATGATCCCACCGAATCCGACGTGAAAAACTTATCCTGGATCTATGATCTCATAGGATCTGACGAAAAACCAAAAAGGTGGATCTCATGATCCGAGATCTGTGATCCGCCATGCACAACATTTGGAACTAGGTTTTCGAGTGTTTCTAAGCCAATAAAAGTGCCACAAAACTGTGGATCATGATTTGACGTGCAATCACATAAAATTACTAAGCGTAGCGTTTGCGAGTTGCAACTAGATTTTTTATTTGTGTTGACAAAAATGAATGAGGATCTATGATCTCAATGGATCTCAAGCAATAAATTAGACTGGGATGAGACTGAGATTCCGGGATCCCCATGGATCTCTCGATAAATATAAATCAAAGAGCTGGATCTATGATCCCGTCGGATCTGAGATCAGGATCCCAGGTCCATTTTCTCGGATCCATGCAAATGTCTGGGTATCACCCTACTGTCGGCTGCCCGTCGCCCCCCCCCCCCGCTGTCAGCACACGGCCCGAGCCGGCACCCCTGTGTTGCATATTCGACAGCCGCCGACCCGTGATTGATCGAGTCTAATGAAAAGGTCACGACTCACGACTCAAGCGGCGCGGTATCAAAGGTGTGCTGCCGCCGGTACTCTGTCACTACTCAGTTGACACTGGGGCTGGCAGACAGCCGCCGGTGCTCTGTTGATGATGCTGGACGCTGGTGTGTCAAGGAAGGAATTGGTGATGTCTGCTCCATGCTTCCTCGGCCCTCGATTCATTATTTCTTACGCTCATAGGGTTATCGGCTGCTGAACTTGATAAAGTTTTGAATTTGTTTCCAAGTTGATGAGTTTTGATGGCATTGAATCTTTCCTTATCGTGATGATAGTGAGAATGCAATAATACATTAGGCATCTATGATCTATCGCAAGTCAGTGGTGAACCTCGGTCAATGGTCTTGTTCAAATGATGTCCTTTGCTACTCGGCAATCATACGAGTCATAACTTTCATCCCTCATGGCCCTCAGCTCCTAACATAGTGCTTTTGGGTGTTTTTCCGTATTCAAGTGAAAAAATAGGCTAAGCGAAAAATAGGGACTATGCCAGTTTTAGGGATTGAAATTAGGCTGGAGAGTAAATATAATGCCGTGGCAGTGAATCATGCACGCTGAAGTCATCGCTGTGGCATGCGGCATGTTAATGCGCGCGGCAGATCTGGAGACCATGAGAGTCAGTTGCTGGTGTATTTATGCAGAGTTTGACACTAGAATTAAGTTAACGGCTGCTGCACTTTATTCCCAGTCCCACACACGGCGTGAGAGGGCAAAACATGAGGTAACGTCACCTTAACGTCTGTATTAACATATTATAATGGACGCGGCGGTAAAAATTATTCTGGCCTGGGTGTAATTAAGAGTCATATGAGCTACTTACCGCTTATGAATATGGATCAGTTGCACTAAATATCATTTTATGTCGGGTCATTTTCATTTAATCAAAATGTAGCGGCCTGCATTTGTATATTTTGACGTCGGTGCACCGACCATTTAACTGTCACTTACACAAAATATTTATCTCTGTATTTTTCTGAATTTAGCATAAGGAGCAGCCTGACTACACGTATCATGGTGCTGGCATGTTCTACCAAGATATGGCTCTTAAAAATTATCAAAAATAAATCTGAACTTGAAATGCTTTTTGTGATGGGCGAACGGTGGGCGGGGGCTTGCCCCTCTTAGCCGCTGGCTTACGGACAGATCTGGCTTTCCGTTTCCAAAGTTAAACGCAAGTTCATGTGTTCGCAGATGCGTGAATGCGTTTTTTTTTACATGAAGTGACATCTGATGCCTCCACTTAGCTGAGGATCACTGACTACATATGTGATTGGTTGGCATTTGTGATTGTTGACCATACACTTAAAACAATCAAATACCTAAAAGCGATTGGACCACATCGTTATCATTGAACCATTCTCTTTCCCCGATACGACTAGACTAGAAGGTCCATGTCGTCTAGTCCACTCCTCTCCCGTACCTTTCCCATCCCCAGCGCCAGCCCCGCCCCGCCTCGCCCGCCCCGCCCCGATCACCCATCCATCGGGCGGTCGGCGCGGCGCGGCGGCGGCTAACGCGGCGCCCCGGCGGCACTGGCGGCGCATTGTTCGACACCTCTCGGCGCGCCGGTACCGACAAAGGCCCCTATCGGTGATTGGCTTTCATGACTGGCCGCACCGGCGGGTGGTCAGTCGGCGCCAGTCATGGCGTTAATTCCAGCCGGCAGCGCCGGAGACCCATGGAGGTGCTGGTCAGTCAATGTTCATTGGTCAGTAGTCACCGGTTTTCAGTGATCGAAAGCCAGAGGTTAGTGATAAGCTTCCATTAGGTATAGGTTTAGAGGGGCAAAGGTCGTGGACTTGGAACTATGCAAGTAGTCAGGGGTCACATGAACACTGGACAGTGGACAGGGAGCAGTGGTTAGAAGCTAGTTACCGTATATCAATAATCCCACTGCATTGGTCAGTGGACTTGGAAATATGCAAGTCGTCAGGGGTCACGTAAACACTGGACAGGGAGCAGTGG